TGTTGAGACAGAGTCTTGTTCTGTCACCCAGGCTGTAGTGCAGTGGCGTGATTTTGGCTCACTGCAACCTCTGCCTCCCAGGTTCAAGCAATTCTCCTGCCTCAGCCTCCCGAGTAGCTGGGATTACAGGCGCCTGCCACCACACCTGGCTAATTTTTGTATTTTTAGTAGAGACAGTGTTTTGCCATGTTGGCCAGGCTGGTTTCGAACTCCTGACTTCAGGTGATCCACCCACCTCTGCCTCCCAAAGTGCTAGAGTTACAGGCATGAGCTGCTGTGCCTAGACTAATTTTTCATTTTCTATTCCTACCATCCCAGTCCAGAGTCTTACTACTTTATATCAGTATTACTTTAACCATTTCAGATCCTTATCTATTCTCTGCTGCAGACCAGTTTTCCTAAAACACCATTTTTATCTTCATTCTCTTACTCGAATGCACTGAAACAGTCTCTGTTGTCTACCACATCATAGACATTGACCCTCAAGGCCAATAATCTTAAACCTTGTATGAGTTTCCTATTGCTGCTGTTAACAAATCACCAAAAATGAAGTGGTTTAAAATTTATTTTTTATTATTATTTGAGACAGAGTCTCTGTCACCCAGCCTGGAGTGCAGTGGCACGATCTAAGCTCATTGCAACCTCCGTTTCCCAGGTTCAAACGATTCTTCTGCCCCAGCCTCCTGAGTAGCTAAGACTACAGGCATGCACCACCACGCTCGGCTACTTTTTTGTATTTTTAGTAGAGACAGGGTTTTACCATGTTGGCCAGGCTGGTCTCAACTGACCTCAGGTGATCCGCCCGCCTTGGCCTCCCAAAGTATTGGGATTACAGGTGTAAGCTACCACATCCAGCCTTCAAATTTATTACCTGACGGTAGCTGAGTCTTCTGTGGGTTCTAGAACAGAATCTGTTTCCTTGCCTTTTCCAACATTCCTTGTCTCGTGGCCTCTTTCATCTTCAAAGCCAGCAGTCACTCCACTTCAGCTTCTGTGTCCATCATAACGTCTCCTGTCTTCACCTCTCTTCTGACTTGACACCTTGTGTAAACAGACTTTCTGATTCATCCTGATAAGTACCAGCTTCTATGACACCACAGACTCAATCCCCTTTTCCTTGTGCTTCCCTCTTATGATAATATTGAGCCCGCACAGATAATCCCCCCTTTTCAAAGTCCTTAATTTAATTACATCTGCAAAGTCCCCTTTCCCATGTAAGCAAATACATTCACAGATTCTGGGGATTAGGACTTGGACATCTTTGAGGGAACCATTATTCTGTCTACTGCTAACCCCTTTACTGGCCGACTTTATTTTTCACTCCTCATAAGAGCCCTTCAGGGACAGCTGAGCCAGTATCTCCCATTACCTCATTATGTGAGGTAAAAATGGCTACCCACCTGTCTTTGCCATGCTGAATGTCTTTTCCTCTGTGTTCTGATCTATTCAAACCAAGACATTTCAGGTTCTCCTTTTTCCATGTTAGCTCCCTTTCTTCCCTAATCTCTGTTCTTAGAACTCCTGTCCATTTAGAATAGAGATTTCTGCTTAAATTTTGGAAACATATGAGATAAAACTGTTATCCCTAAATTTTGTCTAATTAGAAGGTACTTTTTTAAAAGTAGGGACCATGTCCTATCTTTCATATCTTTCACACTGTTAGAGTGTCTAGTAGAGTCTCGGGCACTTATTAGGTATTAAATAAGTGTTTGGCAAATGGTATATTTGGATAGCATCATGTATATTTATGAATTACTAGAGGATCAGTTTCTACTGCGGGAGTTTGCGTTCTCTGTTAACCCCAGGTTCTGCTTGCCCTAATGCCTTTGTAGCTCCTCTGCTAGTACTAGGTGGGAAGAACACGACCACACCAAAACAAAAACAAAACCCCATCCTAGCCTTCTTTGTTATGGCCCAGGCACAGGCTCCTGTGACAGGGTGAACCTTCAAGCTTATGAGTGCTTTCGCGTGTGCCTCGGCTACACCTGTCCACATCCCACTACGGCTAAATACTTTACTATTTTAAATGGTGGTTCCTGAAAAGAGTGTTACCTCCCTAGGCCAAAAATTGCATGTATGGGCAGAAAAACCTTTTCAGCATGGCAAACTGTTAAGCACATTTTATTTTCATGCCTTCCCAGCTATTTTCTGTCAGTTGCAGCCCATCCTTTTATTCACAATGGTTTCAGTGAAATGTGGTGCTGGTTCATTTTAAAATTAACTATCTTCATTTTTTATTATTGACTACTTTTGGCTTGAGTAAAAGACTTCATTCTCCTGTGTGTAATTTCATGAAGTAGATGATAAAGAACCAAAAACCTGCCATGTAGGGTCAGACCAGTAGCACAGCACCCTGTATGTACATTCTCTCCAAAGGGAACCCTGAGGAAGTAGCGGTGGCAATACAGGGGGAAAGATGAGATTTTATCCCCAAATGTTTCTCGCTTCTTTAACTTTTCTTTTCTTTTTCATTCTTTTTATTCATGTACTTGGGAAAAGTATTTCTGCTTCTTTGTGGAAAATGGTTACTATAACCAATGTATGCAGTGGTAGGTCTGTGTGGAGTAAGTTCTGTGTAAAATCTTCTAGCAGTATGAAAAAGGAAAAGGGAGTGGTCACACCAGGAAAAGGGGATTGTGTCTGTGGTATCATAGAATCTGGTACTTATCTGCTTGAATCAGAAAGGCAGTTTGCCTGGACACAGCAGGGCCAGGACCGTTAATCATCGAGTGAAGTGGCAGAGGAGTATTTATCTTATAAGCAGCTGAGCCCTCCTGGAAACATATTGTCTCGGGTTTGTCTCTCATCTAAAGCAATTCATTACTCACCTACGAATGCTGTCATGGATCCCAGCAGCTATGATGATCCGCTTCCTGAGTATTCTTGACATAAATAAAAAAGGAAAAATATTTGCAGTGCTAGATCTTCAACATTCTTTTTAAAAGGAGAGACATATAATGGAGTTGATTTTCTATTCTGAAATATATGTTATGATTCAATAGTTTTAAAGGAAGTTTCTTTATGTTTAAAGTGAAACTTAAGCTTATTACCACAGAATAATTTAGCATTTTGGCCTTGTTCTTGTGGAGAAATGCCTCAGACGGTATAGAGTTTAAATATGTATTTATTCCCCTGCAAGCAATTATAAATCCCCCTCCTCCTCTCTCCCTTGCATTATCAGTTTCCCCCTCAATACTGAATCAGTCTTATCACTATATGAACCTATCGCAGTAGTTTCTGTTTCACAAAATAAAGCCTGCCTTTGGCCCCATGCTTCCCTCATGTGCTCATCCCATTGTACTCCTTCCTTGTCTTTTAGTAGAACTCCTTAGAAGAGGAGCTGCTACTTCCCCACTGCCCTTCTCTCTGTACCCCGCGTTACTGACTTCCCATCATCTGGCACAGCCTGATCATGCCTCTCCTCTTGAAACACTTTCCTGATGGAACCTACTCCCCGTCTTCCCCCAGTGATTGTCCTGCTTCTCCTCCCTGCTTCTCCATCTCACCTGAGGCTTGGGGTGCTCTTCCAAGCTCATTCAGGCAGAATTCAGTGGCTTGCAGTTGCAGAACTGAGGTCCTTTTTTTTTTCTTGCTGGCTGAACACCAGAGACAGCTCTCAGCTCCTAAAGACCACCCTCAGGTCCTAGCCATGTGGCTCTCTCATCACATGATACCTTACTTGAAAGCCAGCAGTCTGCTAGGATCATCATATAATACACAACGTAATCATGGAGTGACTGCCCTGACATAGTCACAGGTCCCACTCATGCTCAAGAGGAGGGAATCATACAAGGCATTTACACCAGGGGACCATTTTAGGATTCTGTCCACCACAGCCCTTTTTCTCCATCGGTACCTAACTCTTAATGTCATCTCCTCTAGTTCCATGGCTCTAAATACCTATATATTCTGACCCCCACATTTACAGACTTGTACCCAGCTACCTACCCAGCATCTCTACTTGGATGCCTATTGAGCATCTCTGACTTAAAATAGAACAAGTGATTCCTTTATATTAGGAATGTCTTTGACTGCATGTAATAGAAACTTGATTAGATTTCTTAAGTAAGAGATTTATTATTCTCACATTACAGGAAAACTAAAAACAGGCAGCCCAGGTGATGCAGGCATCTCAAAACATTCATGTTCCAGGCTCCTCATGTCTCCCTGCTTCAATGTCATCATCTTAGCATGTGACTTTCACACTTCTGGTGACAACATAGCTCCTACCCTTCCAGGCATGGCTTCTGCATTTTCTGGCAAGAAAACCTGTTGCTTTTTGTTAGGGAAACAAGAACCCTACCCCAGTAGACATGTACGTATATTGGTAACTGTCACATGGTCACCCTAATTAAAAGGGAACTTGGAAAATCAATTTATAACTCAGCGTGTTAGCCCTCTGAATGACGTTGACTTTTTTCCCCCCAAAAAAGAAGGAGGGAATGAATATTTGCTAAGCAGCTAGCAGTGCTAGCCACATCCTTATTCATGTAGGATTAGATTTGACTGTAAGTGACTCTAAAACCAAAATAATGGTGACATTAACAGATACAACTTGATCCCTCCCTTCATAAATGTCTGGTGCTGGTGTGGCGGTTTCATGATCGTCAGGGACCCAGGCTCTTGCTGCTTTACCATTCTCGGTACAAGACTTCTACCTCAGAGGCAAAGGTGGCTGCTCTGCTCTAGCCAGTACATGGGCCCCTTCTTCATGATGTACAACAAATTTCAGCCTAGATTGGTTAAGGGTGAATATACTCTTACATATGGAAAGAATTTTTTACTATAGTTTAGCTGCCCAGGTTTAATTTATGAATTTTCTTATTCATTACTATGCTGTTTCTGTGCATGTGTAGTAAAGAAGCAACATTGGTAGGTTTTTTCAAATTTTTAATTAGCAATTAAGCACGTTCCACTTATGGAGGCAATGTATTAGTTTCCTATTGCTGCTATAACAAATTACCATAAATGCAGTGGCTTAAAACAATATACATGTGTTGTCTTACACTTCTTGATGTGAGGAGTCCGAAGTGGGTTTCACTAGGCTAAAATCAAGGTGTCAGCAGGATGACATTTCTTCTGGAGGCTCTAGGGCAGAATCCATTCTTTCCAGCTTCTAGAGGTCACCTTGGCGTATGGCCTCTTTCTCCATCATCAGAGCCAGAGACATTGTTTCTCCCAGTCTCTTTCCACCTCATTCTGCTGCCTCCCTTTTATAAGGATCCTTGTGATTACATTGAGCTCACCCCAGTAATCCAGGAGGATCTTCCCATTTTAAGACCATGAATTTAACCAAATCTTCAAAGTCCCTTTTGGCATATAGGGTAACATCTGCAGGATTAGGATTTGATTATTTTGGGGGAAGGAGGATTATTCTGCCTACCACAGACAGCTCTAATGCAACTTCCAACAGAATTTTTATTTATTTATATTATCCCCTAAAACTGCTGTCCCAAAAGGCTTAGCTGAGAACTATCATTCAGTTTTCATGAATGGAGTTGGAAAGTAATTGTTAGGAACATTGAAAAGATTAGGGCTTTATGTTTTTAAGTTCTCTCTCCAAATAATGTGGTCTAGTTAATGGCATTTCTAGGGACAATACTTATATACAGTTGCATTTTGTTTTGATTTCTTTATATGAAAAATATGTAGAAAGACCTTTTATCAGGAAAGTCCTTCATCCAAGCAGAATTTTGTTGTATTAATTGATTTTTGTAATTAAATTTCTTCACTTTCTTTTTTATTCATTTACTAGGTTTTTAATTTTTCAGGAAAAAGGATTTCAATCTGAAATGTCTACAATAATACCTACCAATACAGAAAACCATTATTCTGAAAACTGAAGTCAAGATACCTAAATAAAGAATCGTTTGACAAAATTGCAGTGTTATTATATTTTCCTCTATTTTTTATTGCAGATAGCAGTAGTTCACTTTCTTTTATTGGCCTTTTTTTCTGCAAATAATGTCACTATAATTAACAGACATCTCATTTTTTTTTTCTTTTTCTTTTTCTATTCTGTGTTTATAGCTTAAGAAATGTATAAAAACTCCAGAAATCCCTTCTAAACATGTTAGGAACTGGGTCCCCAAAGTCTTGGAACAGCGACGACAAGGCTTGGAAACATACTTACAGGTAAGATATGTTTAGATCCTCCATTTTATATAACATAAATAATCATATGTCTCACCATTTTTTCTCAGGACATGTGGGTGCAATGCGAAATATATTAAGCAGCCAAAGAGTCTAAATTAAAGGAAAATTACAGATACGTTGTTGGTTGATTCTTGTAGCTTTAATTAGGGTTCTATTTAAAATTGGCTCTATGCATTGGGGAAGTGAAATTTTAATAAAAAGGTGAAAACTGTTGAGGAGAGAATCTGTTTTTTAATTCAACTCTACAAATTATTTTGTTTTTTGCTTTTTGCTTTTCCTCCAAGAATTTTTTTGCTTCTTTATAGCAATCCCAGCCTTTATGTTTTGAGTTTTGTGGGGCTGATTGGGGTAGTGAGAGAAACTGAACTCACAGCGGGCCTGGCTAGTATATCTTTGGAATCAAATTGAAAAGGAATGTATAAAAATTGCCAATGATGAAGTGCCAACCTCTTTGAAAATTGGAATGTCCATTTAGAAAGAATGCACTGGGACACTCTTCTCTGCAGCTGAGAGGAGCAAGCAGAACTGCCTAAGTGAGATAGGACAAAGACCATCTCTCTACCAAGTGACAGAAGAAGCAAAAGGAGAAGGTAGAGCAGTATCAGCTTCTCTGAGTTTTAAAACAAAAAGAAATAGCGGCCCCAGGTGAGTACTCAGTGTAGTCATCATTAAGTCCAAAGAACACTGTGCAGGGCAGGAGCTGGGGTGGGCAGGCCCTGAGGTCAGCCGGTAGCATCCTGCCACTAACCCTTCTTGGTGAGGCGGTAGGTACCATCCTGCCACTAACCCATCTTGGTAAGGGCCAGTGGTATGGTTCTTCCCTGGCACCAGAGTCCACTGGAGAAGCGACACATGAGAATGACGGAGTGAACATGACTAGGGGCAGGGGAATCTTGGCTCTTTGAAACAAAAGAGCTGGACTCCCACCTAAGAGCTGTGAATTAATGATTGACCCATCTAAGACACGTTACATCAAACAAATGAGCAGCCCTGACTGTGTTCTCCCTTTGATATCTTCATGGCCCTTTAAGCATTAACCCTAGGGTGGATTCTGTTGAGGAGGGAAACTGAGGACTGTGGAGCTAGTATGCTGTTTCTTCTACAGAGCTCTATGAATGGCTGTCCCTGAATCACTGGTGATGAGAAGCTGAGGGGAGGCCGACTCCTCAGGCTTGCGCTTAGTGAGAAATTCAGAGGACTATCTCTCAGTAGAAAGATGCCAGAATTCCGTTCCTGGCCCTTGTAGTTTTCCTGGTCTTTACAGTGCTCTAATAGGAAAGCTGACATGCAGAAGGCCCCTGAGGACATCTAAGGAGGGCTGTCTTTACTGTTTGCTCTTTTGCTTTTGGACTTGTTAGAAGAATCCTTCACTGTCTCTCTCTGGGGGTGAGAGCTTAAAGGAAATAGGAATTAACATCACAAGAATGTGTGTGGCCATGGTTTTTGAGACTGTGTATGAGGAGCTATGATCCTTCCATAGCTTCAGGCAACACTGCAGAGCAAAAAACAAACCAAAAAAAAAAAAAAAAAAAATCAGACTTCAGAAAATTGTATGCAAAGAGTAAAAATGCATGTTCTCTATAATTAAATGGAATAGGTAAACAATGCATTCTTATTTGTAAGCCAGATTTTCCATGATGCTGTATATCTTCAAACTTTAGTTCTGAAGAAAGTTCTACTCTGTTCCCCTCATTGTATTTGACACATGATTTCCATTACTACTCAGTATAAACATTTTAGGTTGTTTGTACTTCGGATGTAAGTATGTGCATAAAATCATCTGGCACAGAGAGGAGTTTATAGTGACACTCAAATTGAGCTTAGAATTTTCTATTCTCAGAAATAAGGTTTGAAAGATGTGGTCGAAGGGCTCAGAGGGCCCTTGCTTCCTGTTGTGCATTTAATAGTCAATTTGTTGTCACTTAATTCCTCCAGGAGTTCAAGGGAGCTTTCTTTTCCACTTGATTCTACTTGCAGGCAATGGGAGCTAGATGGAAGTTGCAAAGATAAGCCTGAACACTTTATTAATCTTAAATGAAATGCAAATCCTAGCCTAGCTGTCATTTCTTGATCATTTCATGTCTCTTTAGAAGTAAGACAGTATTACTGTTTCTTTTGCTTGCTTACATGACACCAGCTAGAATCCATGCATGCTCAGGACCAGTCTGAAACCCAGGGAGTGGGTGCCACCAGCACTTTCTCATCAGGTACCATCCTGCCACTAACCCATCTTGGTAAGGGCCAGTAGTATGGTCCTGATCTGGCCCATGAGCCTAAAAATGTATTAATACCTCCAAGCCATAGCATCTTAAGTGCACAGGAAACTTAGATATTACATAGTCCAGCCTTTCAGCTATTTCACAGTCATCCCTCTGGCCTCAATTTCCCACCCATAAAACAGGCAGATCAGCTCTTGAGAGGGTCAGAGAAAACAACTGTTCCTGCCATCCAAGGAGCAACTAGTACATTCTGGACTATGGTTGAGTACAACCCCACACATTTCCTAAGGTGATTCCACACTGCTCTTTTATTTTAGAGATGGACAAACTGAGGTCCAGTGGAATTAAAAATTTTGCCCCAATTCCTGCAATATATTAAAGAGTTGGGACTGGAATTTTAGTTTCCTAACATCCAGTATGGGCTCCTTTCTTCATGTGTTGTGGATTTTTCTAAGTCAGGAGAAATTTTTCAACTTTGACATACAGCTTTACATAAGGCTCTAATAGATAAAGGAAAAGACCTTATAATCATAAACTATTACAGCCTAGTTGACTATCATCCCCCAACTTCCTGGATAAGTAGATAGATGATTTTTTAAATCAATAACTTGAATAGCAAAAACTATGCATATGCTTTCATTTTCTGTGCTATATTTAAGTAAGAGGCTAACTTAAAAACAAGAAAGGTCAAATTACCTATTTTCAAAATTAATTTTGTTCTATCTGAGATTTTAAACAAAGGAAACCCAACCTGTTTTGGCATCTGTACTTTTAAAACTCTTTTTTATTCTTTTGCTGGTCACCAATGAAATGAAATTAATGAAGGAAATAAAACTAATGAAAATGAGAGCCAAAAAAGCCTACAGTTAGCATTTATTTGGCTGTTTCTTCAATTTGAAAATAAACATCGTATTAGTCTTCAAGATACAATTTATAAATAAATATTTTCTTTTACATTTTAGCATCTCTATTCAATTTAAGTAATTTTAGTTTAAAAGAACTATTTTGGCAGAGAAGTAGGGGTTAGGAAATTTTCCTAGTATGTATTTTTGAGTATAGGTTTCTTAAAAATATTTTACTTTGTATTTGAAAAAGCCACTTTATTTTCAAATAGAAATTTCAGATCTTAAGGAGAAAGAAACAAGCATATTATTCAAAGTAATGTGGAATTGCCACAGTATAAATAATTTGTGGATAGGTTCTAATCAGTGAATTTACCTTCAAAAACTTCTGCCAGTCTAGAGATTTCCATATGATCATTTTTGCAGAGTCTAACAGTTGAGCAATTACAGCAAAGTCTATTTAGTGTTACTTGCCTGGAGATTAAAAACAATAGTATGAAGGTTACATAAGTGAGTTTTAATTTTTTAAGTACATTTCTGAACCATTATTATTTTCCTACTTAAATTTTCAAATGATTTGATTAGAAACAAATTCTAAAACAAAAATGAAAACCCTAGCTGAATATCTAAGTACATGTAGCATCTTAGAATCAAAATCTAGAATTAATCAGGGAGACATTAGAAGTTATATTTGGCATTTGAGTAATTTGAAGTTGAGTAATTTGAAGTATGATGAACAGTGAACCTTAATTTTATTTCCTAGAATCATTTTCTGTTTATTGAATAAGAAATCAAGTAGCTATTGTTATGTTTTCTTATCTCTTTCCCCTTACATAATATACCCCAGGAAAACTCCCTGAGGTTTAATGAATGAGGAAATCGATCCCCTGTAAAAGTAGAATTAAGTATAACAATATCTTTCTATATGAGTGGAAGAAAATTGGTTTTCATCTCAATAAAATGTCTATGCCAAATAAAGAGTTTTCTATTAAACTTTTATATTTCCAAATTATATAAACTAGAAATTCATCTATTTTGGAGGATGTTTTAACTTGAAAATAAAAACAAGTTAATATTTGATACTAATTTACCAATAAAGGTTGTATGTGTGTGTGTTTGTATAGTTTTGCTTAATGATAAGCACTCAGCTAGCACCTATGATGTTTGAGGCAGAAGGGTAGATCTAGCTTCAGAGATACCTTGAACCATAGCCCAAATTAAGCTTCTGTAGTTATTTTCTCTGTCGCTTCTCTCTGCTTTCCATGGTGCAGGCTTCATCTGGACCACCTAGTGGTACAAAAGGGCTGCAACAGTTCCAGACCTCACCTACTCTTAGCACATAGCCTAGTACAGGGGAAAAGAAGGTTTTCAGTAAGACTTCACAGAATAAAGAAGCAGTGTCTTTCACTAGGAGTCCTGCAGATGTTTTTCCTGATCTCATTGGCTTATATTCGTGTGCATGCCCACTTCTGAACCTCACCATGGCCAGCCATCCCACTGAGTTAAGTGAATCAAAGCCTGCTCCTGAAGCTGAGGGAGAAGGGGTGATTTCCTTAATGAATAACCAGGGTATTCTTGGTAAAAGAAAAGGGAGTATTCTCAGCGTGGGTTGGGGAATGGAGGGCAACCAGCAAATTCCCATCACAGAAAATGATGCTTAGAAATTTTGAGTAAATTGCCCAGGGTTATGAAAAAGTGGGGGCTTTCCTGAGACTGCAATTCAAGGCTCTTTCATAGATAGATAAAGCTTCTAGAAAATTTAAAGTCATAAATATCCTTGACTTTTGACTTAAAGACCAGAAATATTTCTTACCTTTATTTTTATTTTAAAAATGTAAAATAATATTTGCTCATTAACACAATTACTTTAAATTTAAAATTTTTAATTACCAATGAAGTTATGAACTAGATAATTAAT